GGATGAGGACTAACAAACTTACACTAAACATTGACAAAACCTACTTCATTCAGTTTGGTAACAGAGCTACAGATGTCCCTCTTAACATAATGATAAATGGATCACCTATCACAAAACTAACAGAGGGAAAATTCTTAGGAATCCACCTTGATAATAGACTCAAATTTCATACACATATACATCAAATTTCTAAGAAAATTTCCAAGACTGTAGGCATACTATCGAAGATACGGTACTATGTTCCACAGTCAGCCCTCCTGGCCCTATATCACTCTCTTATTTACCCCTATCTCACCTATGGAATTTGTGCATGGGGCTCAACAACAATTAACCATCTCAGACCACTAATTACCCAACAAAAGGCTGCAGTTAGAATGATAACAAATTCTCACTACAGGCAGCACACTCCACCAATATTCAATACACTAAACCTACTCACCATACAAAACATCCATACTTATTACTGCACCTATTACATACATAGAACACTTAACTCTGATATTAACCCTCCCCTCAAACATCTCCTTGCCAACCTCAACAGAACACATGACCATAACACAAGGCACAGATCACTCTTTGATGTTCCTCGTGTCCATCTCACACTATGCAAAAACTCAATGCACATAAAAGGCCCTAAAATCTGGAATTCATTACCTGTAAATATAAAAGAAACACAACCTGTTTATAAATTCAAGTCTCTTCTCAAAGATTACTTACTCACCCAAAACCAAATAAATACTGAATAACTGAACATTATAAATTGTATATCTTAAATGTTTCTCACAATTATATCACATAAATGTTAAACCTAAAACCCAATCTAACTTTATTATTTTTTAAATACACTACCTAACAGAATCACTACCTAACTGAATGCAACCATATGACCTGTCTTTGTAATACTCACTTGTGCTTTATAGTTATCTGTTTACATTAATGTTTTATCACTGATTTCATCATTGCTTAGTAGCAGCGCTGTATAGTCCTTGTGGCTTAGCGCTTCTTTTTGATTATAATAATAATAATAATCATTGCTTAGTTAATCTTAAGTTAATTTTAAGCCAGCCCGTAATGCTATGCATAGTATAAGTGGCTTTGGCATACTGCTCTTATCTGTATCTTTTTTGTACCTCTGTATGTGTGCACAAATTGGAAAAATAAAAAATAAAATAAATAAATAAATAAATAAGTTCTACTGTCCGAAATGCTCTGCTTATTAAGGGTTTCCTGCGTGTATACCTATCATTCTCCTGGAGTTTACCTGGGGAGGGGTTCGGGTCTCAGCGACCCCGCGGCCCGATCTGTGACCAGGCCTCATGGTGGATCAGGGTTTGATCAACCAGGCTCTTACTGCTGGCCGAATACAACCCGACGAATGAACAACAGCCTGGTTGACCAGGTGTTGACTTAAGTTCTTGTACAAACACTATTATGCTGAGATAAAGAATCTTTAATCCTTAATCTTTACCATTTTGCAACTAGAAAACATTCTGATGTGCAATGATGCACAGAAATATAATTACTAGTGTAATAATCAAGGGGGAAGCGCTAAATGCACAGGAGCAGAAGAGCACATGAGTGGGAACCTTGAAATAAGGACAGGCAAAAAATATCTCTGGAGAGAACTGTTCACCTCAAGTGAGGTTCCTTAACGCTGGTGAGGGGCTCTTGATCTAGGGAATTGGAGCTGTGCTCCGGTTCCCTGAATTGACCGTGAATTCCTTCCATCCCCCCACATGCGCTGTATAATCCTACTGGTTTAGCGCTCCCCCATGATTATAATTAATTATGGAGAGGACTGTCTTCTGTCGTGGAATGTTTATTATAAGCATATTATTGTTGCCAGCATAACCAAGTGCTAAACCCGTAAGGGTCATACAGCGCTGCAAGACTGGTAAAGTATAATCAATTTGGTGTCAAAAAAATATGTTACTGACAAAAGGTCGAAGAGGAAGTCTGTGTCAAAGGAATTTGTCCCGTAGCTTGATTGGTAAGCTGGCACTGGACAAGCACCTAAAGTCGGTTCCTGACCAGCCGGGCTGTGGCTCGTACGTTAGTTTGCGTGCAGCCAGCAGTAACAGCCTGGTTGATCAGGCTCTGATCCACCAGGAGGCCTGGTCACAGACCGGGCCGCGGGGGTGTTGACCCCCGGAACTCTCTCCAGGTAAACTCCAGGTCTCTCCAGGTCACACACTGAGGTCCGGGGGTCGATCCCCAGTACGGGCGGTTAACATTAGGACGTGTTTCCTTAAGACACATGCTGTCCATGTTCACCTATCAGAAAAAATAGGTACCTAGGTGTTAGTGGACTGGTGTGGGTCGCTTCCTGGGACAAAATTAACCTAATTTGCAAGAAATGCTCAGCATAACAAGGGGCTTTCTATATAGTAGTATGTCACTGATGTCAGCTATGGTCTGTATGAATAAAGATTCCCATATGCTGCATAAGTGTCTCAATCTTCATCTTGTACATGTACTTGTAGTAAATGAAGATATTATAAATAAATAATTATTAATAAATAAATAAATAAGCACGAATTTCTCGACAAGATTGATCAAATCCCACAAATTATTATAACTAATTATTGCTGTTAGGTAAAAGAACACAAGTGCAACTAATGTGACATTTTATTGTGACAACGTTTCGCTCTCCAGGAGCTTGATAAAGTTCCTGTAGAGCGAAACCTTGCCGTAATAAAATGTCGCATTAGCTGCATTTGTGTCCTTTTTACCTAACATATTATCAGTAATTCTACCAACATTATTAATTATTCTTTTAAGGGCTATACCGGCCTTTAGTTATCATTATTATTGTATCAAATAATAATTAGTTGATGAGTGAACGTGAAGATAGTGGCCGGCCAGCCATTTGTAAACAAAGTGGCGGGCGTCTCCTCTTATCACTTATCATATTATTGATGATTTAACCTGCTTGACACGTTAGTATTTTACCATTAAGTTGTTCATTATTACGTCTGTTTTGTATCAGATTATCTGGAGGTTTTGCTGCCTCGTTTGAGCTGTGGGATTCATAATGATTCACCATTACCCTGATCGTTTTTATTACTGTAAATTTTATTTAGCCATTTTTTTGTGATTTACGTAAATTCTAGAGTTTATTACTGCCGGAAATAGTTTATTGCTACGTTAATTTAACTTGTTTAATATTAACCCGGAGGGTTATTAGCCCAGGATAATATTCCAGGAAGGTACATGGAGGTTAAATATTTTTTTTATTAATATGAACGTGTATAAAAGGTATAAAAGTTGGATTTATAGTTCATTTGGTTATAGTTTTGATGCAATTATGATAGTCTCCTTATGGGAGGAGTATTACAACCCAGGAGTCCAAATGGCCTGTTATCCCGGGTGTAAAGGGAGCAAAATAAACAGCAGAAAAGTTTTGACTTATATTATCCATCACCAGCAATATGTACACTATGTACAGTGATAAGTATAGTGCACTCCACGGTAAGCAAGGCAGAATAGAAGCCACAAGAGAGCAGACCGTGCTTCAACCAGCTCTAGAATGGGAATAACAAGGGCAGACAGGAGAGTGGTACCCACATCACCTCTGCGATTGCCAAAACCATCTTATTATTGGCTGGAACCTGGTTACTAGTTGAACGACGGCCCCATCATCAACCCTCAGTCACCTGGTTCGCTGGTTGGGGGAGATAGCCTGTAAATGAGGGTGTGTACATGCGCCGAATAAAGGTTACGTACTCTTTGTATGCCACAAGGAGGCAGGGGGGGAGGGTTTTTGATCCAAGGAATTGGACTTGTCAAGGACCCCAATAGAAATAAGTCACTGACTTTTTTTTGGGTTATCTTATGTAATTTATGTATGATAATTGTACTTACGTGTATCTTTGTTTAGATAAACTTAGAGAATGTGACCTACAACAGTCGACTAACACCAAGGTACCTACTTACTGCTTGGCTGTTAGGGAAGGTTTCTTGATGATAGTGAGGGGCTTTTGATCCATGTCAGAAGAAGAAGATATTGAAGACTCTAGCACACCAACATGGGAAAGTCTTACTTTCTACATTGCTCCATCAAATGCTGACACCGTGACCTGCGCTGAACTCTACAAAGGCCTCAGTGCAGGAACTGTTACATTTGCCTGCGAGCAAGGATGCCTAGGCATGCCAGTGGCCTTCGTTGTAATCAATATTTTATAATGTGTAAACCACATTGTAAGCTTTGCAAGGAAATAAACATTTTAATTTTCACACTCACCCAAGTTCTGGAATTCCTCGAGCCTCTACGATTCACCTTTGTAAACAAGACAAAACTCTACCATCTTTCTAGGAGAAGCTTCAGAAAATTTGAAAATGGCTCCTCTACAAACCTGCCTCCTTAATCTCATCAAATAACACTACCAGTGAGCTGCCATATGATGTTCCTGCCTGCCTGCCCTGTCCTGTGACCTAGCCTGCTGCCAGCTTCTCAAGTCCTCCAGCCACCACAAGACTATTACAACAGTGACTGCTAATCCTGTTTTTCCAGTCTGCCCCACAAGCGCCTAGCGGCTGGGACTTTCTCTACGACTGTGGACACTCCTCTCCAATGCTAATCTTCACATGTCCCATCTTCCCATCTCACCCCACGTGGGGTCTTACCTAAACTCTCTTGTCTTGTATTGTGTATCAGGTTGTACAAACTACTGTGGACAGATATAGGTGAAATGGGTTCATTTTGAGTAGATCTGTCTAGCATTGGCCAGTATGCCTGCTGTATAGTTTCCCCATGTTTGGTGAGAACATATTTGTACGTAAAGTGATGTAAAAGGTAGACTGTCGATGATTTTTATGGCATCAATAATTTCTTTTTCCTGCACTGTACAGTACATATATTAATAAAACCTAGTGTTAACTAAACTATTGTATGGAAAAAAGAATTCCATCACTTTAATGTCTCTGTTCAATGTGCTAAATAGTAATTATGATTTCTTACTTCATGTTCTTTGATACTTACAGGTGTTGGCCAGGAGAGGATGGGTTGCTGTGGTGAGAGTGGGATACCCTCTCGGGAGGAGGAGCGGCGACCCACAGATGTTTTGTGGCTTGTTATGTTTTTCCTCTTTCTTGTACTTATGGTTAGTTATGCAAGTTGCAATTATTATTTAATGTAAGTATTGAGATTATGGAGAATGTTATATGTTTATATCCAGACATTCACTGTGTAATTTAAATTAACTGATTTTGTTCATTAAATGTTTTTACTGTAGGGTCTCCATGAATAATCTTAGTCACAGATTATTTATGATGCCCTTTTTTTTTGTACTTTGCAAACCAATTTTTTTACTTTGCAAATGCTCTCTAATTTAAAAATCAGCTATAGAATTTCATTGAAAATAAGACAGGGAAGATGAGGAAGACAAAAATTGTTGTAGCAGGCTGGAGTTACCATTAATGTACTTGGGAATTACTCTCTATCACAATGACTGATCACACTCATACACAAGACACTTCATCATTATAGAGTGAGGATTTTTTTTATATGTGTTATATTTATAGAAACCCAAGAAAAAAAAAAAGAGAAGGAGGGGGAAACAATACATATTTTAAACTCTTAATTTTTTAATACCGTACTGAATGATAACAAATAACCCCTCATAGAAAAGATGAGCTTACGACGATGTTTCGTCGTCCGACTTGGACCATTTACAAAGTCTCACTGTGAGTTTTGTAAATGTCCAATCGACCGAAAACGTCGTTGTAAGTCCTCCACTCTATGTGGCGGTTATTTGGTATAGTGTACTGTATATTTGTATTAAACAAATAGAGAAATCAGCTCTAATATACACTTATTTAGGTAGCATACTGGTCATGACCTGTCGTAAGCCCAGTCATCGTAAACGAATATGTCGCTAAATGAGGAGAGCTGTAGTAGTATTAGTATTTATGAGTTTGAAATAGTATATTATTTATTAATATGTACATATTTTAAATGCTATAACTTTGGGTCCACACTTTTACAGTTAACCCTTTGACTGTTTACGAAGTTATAATACGTCTTATGAGCCTATTTTCTACGTATTTATACCACAAATTCAAGCGGCTTCAAACAAGCGGAAAGGCTGGTATGCCTACATGAGAGAGAATGGTCTCCATGGTCGGTGTTCCCACTGTGAAAAAATCTGGACTCAGTGTGCCATTGTGGAACGCCATCATGTTTAGTCCCCCCAATTTCACCATGCCTCTCTAAGAAGTTCCTCACTCGTCGGCGGATTGAGGACATTTGTTCCCAGTGAGAGCTCTGACACCCGATGAAATGTCAGTGACAGTGAATTCCAGGGTTTTGAAGTGATTGTACCGAAAAAGTGCCAGAACGTAATTAGTGAGGAAAACCCAGATGAACCCACAACCTTCCACCTCTGTGCTGCCGTCTTGTTTTCACGTTCACGTGTTCACCTTTCACCGTCCTGTACCAGGATGTAAGAGGAAAATATTTGGTCCGTGTACAACACCCAATGATAGCATGAATGGGATAGTGATATGATAGTGATTTCAAGTCTTGAAAGCATTCAGTGACAGTGAGGGATTCCCCAGTGATGCTGCATAATGTATGCGACGTACATGAGGTCTATAGGTTTCATATGTTTGTTCCAAGGGGAAGGAGAAACTCTGGGAGCACATCCCTGCCTACACCCGACCGATAGTAAGATGACGATATTGTAACGATGGTATGAATGATGTGAGTGAGGGAGCAGCAGTGGTGGTGATTAGCTGAGGTGGCACGGCCATGTGGCACCATCAGCGGCCACTCTACTACCCACGCTGCTGACTCTGCACAACAACCACCTCATCTGACCCCAAACTCCACAACCTGCACAACAACCAGCCTCACCTGAGCCCCACACACCACAACCTGCATTACCAAACCACGGTACAATTTCCAACCCACCACCACCGCATCTGGATGGGCAGGAAAGTGACAGTTTGTTCCAGTCCCCCATGACTTTGATAAACACAAAGTGAATAAAGCCATCATTCCATCTTGGGAACAATGCATGAACTGACTGCTTTGATTATTCTTCGATGAACCCCTGATTGACAACTTTGTCAGGGAAACAAACACATACTGTGATTACACCATGCAAATACAATGCTCTCACCCAAAATTCACGGCTACAACACGTGCAGGAGACAACTGGGCATAGATTGTACCTGTTTTTTTTGCCACAATAATGCTTATCCACATGTATAAGCACACTGTCCCACCACATACTGCAAACAGAACGCCTGATTTCAACTCCAGGTTTTAGTGACCATTAGTAGGTGTCAATCGTTCCTATACTGTTACTTATGATACACTTTTCGACAAAACCAGTCCTGACAGAAGCACAGTTTATAAGATAAGACTGTTTTATTTAACTGAAACAAAAGTGCTTGCATGTAATTTTTATCCCTTCAGGAAGCTTGTTATTGTATGAGTCATGGATTTTTATCAAGGAAGACTCTCAGTCATGCAATATATACAAGCAAGAGGAAACGCTTTGGGTATAAAGCGATTTTTACTGTGTGATTGCAGAATGGTCTAAAGTTTGGATATCATTGTGTACACTGGCAGTAATACTTTGAGGATACCATGAAGTTATTGGTATCTCTGGTGATGTGTTCGAACAGTGATGGAACCATATCTTGGTAAGGGGCATATGTTTATTACTGATAACTGGTACACAAGCCCTTACTCATTGGATATCTGCATTAACCTACAGACTGTGTGCACAGTGCATGGTAATCCGTAAACATATGCCAAGGTTCGACGCTGCACTCGCAGAGGTGAGGAGCAAGCCCTTTGCTGCCAATGACAATCAGGCATTTCGGTGGCATGACAAAACGTGATGTCACCTTATTTGACATCATCCACAGAAACGAATAGTACACAGGCAGGCACAACAGTGAGACCATGGAACCCATTCTAAAGCCTGCACTTCATGGACTACAACTCAATAATGCGCTTAGTGACAAATGTGACCTGCAGATTGGTTGCAGACTGTGTACGCAAGAATTAAAGTGTAAAAAAACTTTTTTTTCCATCTTGTTGATATCTCAAAGCCTGAATGCTTATAAAACATATCAAGTGAAGACCAACAAAACACCAAAAAATATGGTGAATTTTGCTGTCATAACAGACAAATAATTGCAAAGTACCAAGAGCAAACCCTGCAATAGACCACACCACGAAGTTACCCACACACTCTCTCGTTTCCCAGGCCCATCAACTGCCTCCTACTACTGCCAAGAAAATGCTCAGAAGAGGTTTGTATGTATGTACACACCCAAATTACCACAAACCGCCCACAAACACGCAAGGAACACTCGTTTGTAGTGTGAGGAGTGTCAAGTGGCCCCTCTGCCATATACCCATGTTTCGAAGATTTCCACTAGCTGCAGCAGTTCTAGAACGTGTTAGTGACTGACATATGGTATGTATATGGAACAATAGTAAGAAACATTGTTTGGTATTTTGTTTTGTGTAAACAATGTGTATACACAAACTATTAGTGATAAAGTTTTGTTCTGGTTATTGTGTTGTAAACAAGAGTTGTATATTTGAACAATGCAACCTTACATTGTCTCACAGCCACATAAGTTACCTGGAACAGAAAAATATGAAAAATGCAATAAACCTTGAATTAGAGTAATAAAAGATTCCCGGTGGGCGGCAGTCGCCGCTGTTGCGTAGGCACGTCACGTTCTGCAAACTTGCAGCTCTATATCTTGGTAAGTACTGATGGCAAAAATTATTTTTAGCTTAAAACACTCAGAAAATTTCCGAACATTTTCATAAGAATAAATAATTTTTTTTTTTTTCGAATATTGTCGGCATAGAAACAGTTTCAGAGAGGGCCGGAAAACAGTCAAAGGGTTTAATTAACTACAAGGCATGTCTAGAAAAGTGTGTCATGACCCGCGGTTAACGAACTTTTTTCATTCTCAGTAGTATGTTGCATGCAGTATGACCGAATTTTCCCCATAAGGATTATTGTGATAGATTATTCCTTTCAGACCCCCAAACATACACGTACAACGCACTTACATAAATGCACTTACATAATTGGGCGCATTTGGAGGTGATCGTTAGCGGGTCCACTGTAATTCCAACGTCTTTACTCGGGTTTGATAGAATATCTCATTTGTAAGCTAAAGACCATTGTAAATACAGTATACATAATCATTGTTTTCGTTCTGTAGTTGTGCTTTCTTGATGTGAGGACTTGAGTGATCCCTAAAGGTGTGCCCGCATCAGCAGGCCAGATGTTTACACTCCACACACTTCAAGTTATTCATTATTTTTTACAACCGTACGATCAAAACTTGCAGGGTAGGTATGTTCGCTAGTTACAGAACGCAACCTTGTATGTCCCTAAAATGCGCACATAACTTAGGGCACTTTTATAAAATTAAAATACCTCTCACCGAATTTGTAGTCGTATTCTTATGAAATGAAAATTTAAATTTAAATTTTTAATAGAATAGCTGTCTTGCTGATATATGTCAAAGGAAACAGCAGATTGTCTTCTACTTTTATATGCTCTAAAATCTTGCTGCTGGGTGTCAACATTCTCTTCAGTAATCTCCAGCAATTGAAGAAAAAAAATAAAAAAAAAAAAAGAAAAAAAAAAAAAAAAAATAAAATATTTAAATGTAGACATAGGCCTGTGAAGTTGTACCGTGGTACAGTGGAACCTCGTACTTCGATCCACTCATTCCAATGGCTGATCTGTTTGAGTATTGAACTAATCTCCCAACCAATTTTTCTTGTTGGTTGTCTGGTATCATTATCTTCGGAGCCCCATGGTGACTATAACAAATACAAACACACCAAAAAAATATGAAGAAACACGAAATAATTTACAGTGAAGGTCTAGCATCGGATTGTTTGGTCAATTACCGAGCTTTTTTCAGTAAGAACGTTTGTGTTACCGAAGGTTCCAGTGTACTATAGACAAAAAGATTATTATTATTATTTTTTTTTTTCTTTTTCAACAATCGGCCGTCTCCATCCAAGACTGGAACCATAGGCTTAAAAAACTACTCATAATCTATTTTTTATTATATGGATCATATCTAATCACAAGGGAGGCAGTTAGATGGTCTTGTCACCAACATCATCTAACCAAAAAAATTATTTAGTTAATGACTTGCCTGCTGATTTTACAGGTCTTGTCATTGGCAATAGTATAATTAATGCTCCTTTTCCTTATTATTTTATTGTAATAATCATGATTTTTAACTTGAATACACACACTAGTTGGTTGTCCGCATTTTTTAGTCATATGCTTAATATAGTCTACATTAAAGTTTAAATTTTCTTTTCTCACATCTAATCAACATTATCTGATTTAGTGTAAGTATATTAATAATTTATTTATATTTGTACAGATTATAGTAGTAAGAGATATTATTATAGTTTGTGAGGAAGTTTAAGTAATTTGTAATAGGGCATTTGCATTATGCCAAAATTTGTTCTGGATAGCAAAATAAAGATAAATGAAAGTAAAGGAGGATTGGAACTATTGAGCAGGTACTGTAAAATGCGCCCTTGACATATGATGTTGTATACGTACATGTTACATGAACCTACTCGCTGCTGCTGAGTAAATATCCTTCATATGTGTCTTAGTCCCAATTCTCCGTAATAAAAACTTTCATTCTTTCGGGTTACTCCTGCCTCAAACCATTGTCATTATGATTTTCTTGAGTCACGCGTTTTGGCCCCTCGTGGGAAATATTATTAAAATCAAGGGGGAACGCTAACCCGAGGATTATACAGCGCCTGGGGATGTGAAGGCATTCAGGCTTAATTTTGGGGAACTGAGCACAAATCCAATACCCATAAATCAAGAGCCCCTCATCAACAATCAAGGAACCTTCCTTGAGATGTGAAGCCCGCGTGGGAGACCAGCAGTGTGTATCAAGTAAATTAGCGATTCTTTGAGCTACCTGATTTGTTGATGTACTATTCACTAGGATGGCATTGTTCTGATTATCAGTAATGTTCAATAAGTAGTGTAATAATAGATAAAAAAGTCTATTCCGTGGCTGGAAACAAATTCGCATATAACTGTAAACTCACACTGCAGGGAACTTCAGATGACACCTTTGCTCCATCCTAGGTCATTATTAAAGGTGTACCGTGATATTAGTGGTGAAGTAATGGACTGAAACTCATCTAACACTTCTCCAAGTGAGTCCTTGAGGGGGATGTACAATGCCTCATCCTGAAGAGGAGTAAGGTTATTGCAGTTCACAGGGCATCTGACCTGTCATGCCAGCATACATTTATGACAGTAAACAGTGATGGGATGGATGATGGTGAAGGTTGTTTTCCTCTGTTTTTGGGGACCATGCTTCAATGGCGATTGTTGGTGTGTTAACCAATACTGTAATTAAACATGTAGTTTAAATCAGCATTTAATATTATATCTCATTAGAGGTTAAGACATTTTTACATAAGTAAAAATATGGTTAATCGTGTCTTGTTAGAAACTATTGATATGCTTTTTAACTCAGGTGTGTTTAAATTCTTTCAGATATGAACTATAACATGTATGATGAAGATGTCAGTTGGTTTGAAATCCTCTCACACCCACCAACTGAATGCAAGCTTACTGCGTGCTAGTGCCCACTCTACCAGTCTTTTCAAAGGTAAGTCTATTTTTCAGTTTTGTGAAAAGAGAGATTGTTTACAATTTTTTTTTTAAATACGACTGGTCGTCCTCCCACTAGTAGGGTGAACTGTTATAAAAAGCACTTTCACCATCATTCACTCTATCACTGTCTCATCTAGAGTGTTCAGTCACTATTGTTCAGATGCCCTCCAAAACTGCAAATATCTCCACCCTCCTTCAGAGGCAGTACTCTATTTTCACCTTCAGGACTCGAGTCCAGCTAACCAGTTTTCCTGAATACCTTCACAGAATGTTTCCAATTCACTCTACAGCAGCTCATCAAGTCCTAAAACCATTCGTCTCCGAGTCCTAATCTTACACTCTCACACACGACACTTCTGGATGTCCAAGCCCCTTGCACACGAAACCTCCTTACTCAGTCTTTTCCCTAGGCATCTTTAGCCCGCCTTCCTCCACTACAGATTTATACACCCTCCAAGTCAATCCCAACCCTGCATCTTCTCTTCAAATCTTCCAAAACACAGTGTCAATGGCAAATAGCAGTGACAACTCTGCTATTTGCCATGCAGTACCCATACAATCATTTCTTTACAAACTCATCTATAAATAAATAGCAACCATGGTGACATCACACATCCCTGCCTATGCTTACTTTTACTGGAAAATAATCATCTCTCCTATATACACTACCAGGAGTACATTATCCTCATAAAACTCGTTAACTGCTCTCAGTAACTACCACCTATTCTATACACTTCAACATCTGCCACATGTTTCCCTTCCACACTATCATAGCCTTTCTAAATCCATTGGAATGCAACAAAACTTTCCTATCTTGATCGATATAATGTTCACTAATATGCTTCAATTAAACACTTGGTCTGCACATCCTCTACCCTTCTAAAAAAACCCTAGAATTCAGGTAAATGAAGCATCTCTACTGGGACTCCTGATATTCCATTACTGTATTTTTTTCATTGGTACCTGGTTCATTAAAGAACACGAAATTCGTCAGACACTCACTAATTCGAATGCCCTGACATGGCTTACTTTCTCCACGCCTCTTCTCTGAAGATTCTGCTTTGGTTGCAGTTCTCTCTTTGATTTCTTGCACTGATCTAGTTTCCTATACAACTGTGACATTTCATCTTTTCAGCCAGTGTTTTTGTCCTCATCACCACTCCTATCCTCCCAACCACAATTTTTTCGTGTGTCCCAATGCCATTTAGGTTAACATTTATAATTTACCATATTTTTACGAACATAATTGTAATTCTATTGGTAGTATGGTAGACAGCAACCACCCAGGGAAGGACACCGTCCTGCCAAGTAAGTGTAAAACGAAAGCCTGTAATTGTATTACATATGGTAGGTTGCTGGTGTCCTTTTTTTCTGTTTCATAAACATCAATTTCAGTACGTCTTGCTACTTCTACTTTACACTAAGTCACACTGCACATACATAATACAAGCATAGATAACATACCCACGGGGTTTTCTTCTCTTTTTCTTCTAGTTCCTTTTTTCTTGTCTATATGATTTTTTTCTCTATATCTCATGGACGTGGAACAGAATTCTTTCCTCCGTAAAAACCATGTGTGCGTAAGAGGTCGACTAAAATGCCGGAGCAAGGCGAGTAACCTCCTTCGCCTGTATATATTACTAAATTTAAAAGGCGAAAACTTTCGTTTTTCCTTTTGGGCCACCCACCTCATGGGGATATGGCTGGCGCTTGAAGGAAAGAAGAAAGAATTGTATTCCTTCTGTCAGAATCACATTTCTTATTAAATCTTATATTACCTATATGAATACTGCATTCTTCCAAATTTTTGGTTACATTGACCACACTTTTTAGATGTATTGGCCTTCACTTGTTAGAAATATTGGACACCCTACATACTTGTACTCCTTGTAGCTTTGTGATTTGTACTTCTTCATTCAGTAGTAATTAGGAGAAAATGGGAAATCACTTGTCTTGCTGTCTTGCAGACAAACTGTTCCAGCTTAATGCTTTTATTTTTCTCTCTCTCATTTGTATATTTTTGCAGTGTGCAACTTTTCTTTGCTATTTTCCCAATTCTATCAAGTA